TTTACTATATATTTTGGTGTGGAAAGTCGACAAAGAGCTTAAACATATCTATCTTTTGGGATTCATCTTTGTCTATTTCACAGACCCACCTTTGAAGCTGGGAAATGTTGCTGTATCCTTTTTTAAATTACCATAACAATATCCAATTGACATATCATCAGTTCATTTTCATTAAACCTCAGAATAGGATATCATATTTGACCCGACGCTTGCGTCTGTGTCGCAGGTGTGTACATTGGTCCAATCATATAATTTTCAGAACTGTATTACCCTTCACACCAAACAATCTGGACTGGTTATTCTCTTGCACTGACAATTTATATATATTTTATTGTTACTCATGTGTCATATTGGACATTTTCTACAAAACACATACAGGCATTTATGTTTCATTGATAAATATGATTCGAAACACAACAGAATTAAATCTTGTTTGCGCAAAGTTGAAACTGTAGGATTCTTTTTGTCTGAATCAATCCTTAAAGTGATTTAACACATGCTCGTGATAAGTCGGAATTGTACAATCGACTCTGCTTTATGCAGATATTTCTATTGGATATGTAAAGGGTTTTGTCACTTTATTTAGAATTACAATTAACACTGACTTCGATTTCTCCTTTTAGGCCACAAAAAAACAAAAAAACTTTCAAAGTGCCCTTTCAATCTCCTGACCCTAATTCCCCATGAATACCAGACATGTCACTACAGATGAGGTTCTTCCACACTTGGAGTTCATGGAGCTTGCAGCTTTGAACAAGAAATCAAAGCGCAAAATATCAAATATCTCGACTTTATTCATCAGACAGACTTAACTAAGCTTCTTGGTGACAGAATGGTTTTGCGTACTTCATTGGATATGTTGATTCTGTACATCTTAGGAACAAATTTCCCTGGTATAAGGTCTTCTATTTATGTATCATCTTCTTTCAGTGCACACACTTCTAAGATGTATTAATCTGATGCATTGAACATGTTTGTATTGATTCAAATACCCTGATCACCGACTGATTCTGTGGTTGTAGCCCTCTCCGAGACAATCTGGGTTAGAATGGTCTGCAGCAACCCATACTTGATCCCAAAAGCGGGAGATAATGCATCTTACATTGAGAAAGCAACAAGCAATGCTGCTATGCGTAGCTTGAATATTCGCTTCCCCTTCTCTCATCACTGTACTCAACACAAACTCGCGCTCACTTAACACATAAACGGGGTTCTGTCGGCAGATGGCACAGAGAGTTGACTCTGAACACACTGTTCAAAGTGCACTTGTCTGCTTATACTCAACGTACATGTAACACCATGAATGTTAGCCCCTCACTCTCATATATATATTTGTAAATCCTTTTGTACATGGGCCCAAGGCCTTATACTGAATAAAGTTGGTTGAATGACTGACTGAGTGTGACCCTACAGGTTATATCTGTGATATTGGTTCCTGATCGATCAATGAGTATGAACAAACTCTTGTACTCACACCAGCTCAAGCCGTTTGATTATCCCGATTACTTACAAAGGATCCATATCCATGGCCAATTGAAGACTTGTATGAATGTATTTCAGCATGTGTGGTCGGGCATGACACAAAAGATGCGTTACAGGTAATATCATAAGTTGTAGCAGGATCCCGCGTTAGGTTTTATACCAGAGGAGAGTGGTATTAACGTCCCTTACGAGGGACGCATAAAACCCCATGTGCCCCGAATGATCCTGCTACAAGGAGTTACCTTACCCACATGTTTTAACTATCATTGTAAAAGAATTAGAACAAATTCAAAAGTGATAGAAAACAGCTGTTCGACTGAGCGGGGGTTGGCTTGTGCTATGTTTCGTGTTTCTATTTCCCTCCAAGGCGGGATACATAGTATGTTTTCCAGATCACGTGGACCAATCAGACCTCATCATTTCTGACATGGAGGTATGATTTACAACGATGTCGTGATTCACGTACTTAAATTCACACAACTGTTTTGTGAGTGAGTGAGTGAGTGAGTGAGTGAGTGAGTGAGTGAGTGAGTGAGTGAGTGAGTGAGTGAGTGAGTGAGTGAGTGAGTGAGTTAGTGAGTGAGTGAGTGAGAATAGATTTCTGGCGTGCCGAAGGAAGGCAACTCTACAGAGCGAATTGCGGCGCCTTAGACGACTGGGCCGCCCCTTCCAGGCTTGAATCAAAACGCATTCGTTGTTTTTTTTCGCATAAGCAGGACATGGTATTCATCTTCAACATTTTTATTATAACAATATCTACATTTATATTCAATGTTTTTGAATTTGCCTTCATAAAACAAAAGATCACAACAGCAGCATCGCAACTGTGATAATGACGATCTAAGGTAACTAATATTTACACATCGTAAGTATTTTTCACATATAAAATGTTTCCAGGAACAGCGAATACATATATGTACGACACATTCATCAAATTTTCACTCAAATTTTCTTTGAAGCAGTCTTTGCCCATTTAGTGTACTTGAGGTAAAACATTTATTCCCAACTCCCTGTTCAAACCATGCGTTTCATGTTTTGAAAGGTATTGCCTTTATTAATGTAGTCCTGTTATTTGTATAACGCCTCTTTCTGGTGTCCGCGGACCCGTGAAGATCCGGGGTACAATAGGTCTTGAGCAACCCATGCTTGCTGTAAAAAGCGACTGCTTGTCATAAGAGGCGACTAACGGGATCGGGTGGTCAGGCTCACTGACTTGGTTGATGTTTGTCATTGATCCAAATTGCGTGGATCAATGCTCATGCTGTCAATCACTGGTTTGTCTGGTCCAGACTCGATTACTTACATACCGCCGTCAGATAGCTTGAATATTGCTGAGTGCGGCGTTAATCAACAAACCAACAAACAAATCTGGTGTCCGGTCGTGGTATTGGTGGAATATTGTTAAAAGCGGCGTTAAACAATACTCACTCACTCACTATTTTTATTACGTTGATCACTTGCGTTTTGATATAAATGATACAACGTTTTGTTTGCTTTTGATTCATAACGACAATAAGATAATGGACATCTTAAGGTAGAAATATGACAGGAAATTGTCCGTTTGTGAGGAGCTTCGTGTTGGTATCAAGGAACATTGTTGTTTCAGCCACTGATATTACTGAATTGTTACATGACTCATTTTAGCAGAGCTCAGATGAAACAAAAGCACTAGTACCCAATTAATTTTGTATTACTTGTGTACACATATGCATGGAGAAAGTGGATAACACAAAAGTATCGATAACAGCACTCAGCACATTACCCAATGTAGCTCTGTCATCTTGTAGCCTCGTGGTTAAAACGTTCGCTCGTCACGCCGAAGAACCAGGATTGATTCCCCACATGGGTACAATGCGTGAAGCCCATTTCTGGCGTCCCCTGCCGTTATATTGGTGGAATATTGCTAAGAGCGGCGTAAAACCACACCCACTCACTCACTCATTCTCTGTCTTATAAATTGACACCCTGAAACACATGTATAGGAAATAGGAAAGTTTAGGACTCACATATACACATATATAAATAAATACAACGAATCTCTAATATGCCATTTCATGGCATACAAGGAGTAGTTCCAGTACTAATCCTTTGAAACATACGCAATATATCGTACTGTACAGACATAATGACATTGTCATGAACACATTTTGATTGAAGCAACCATCAAAGAACGATAACGCCTTGTAATACACTGTACAGATACTTCATGCGAACGCGCACCTTGTAATGAACGTTATAACACATTGCATACTAAAGATAGAGAAATATGTATCCAAATATTTGCAAAATATATGACACAATACGTTTCAAGCCCTTGGATGACACTGGAGTGTAGATTAAACCACATCGTACCCAGGTCATCACTGATTATCTCCGACGCGAAGGCATACGGACATTGGACTGGCCCAGGGACCCGTTCTACAAAGCGATCTTAGCGCTACGACTGTCGTAAGCCTATGTTAAAGTATGGGAGTTACGATCGTCTTACCGTTAAGATCGCTTTGTGGAACAGGGCCCAGGTCGTCCCCAGACATGACCCCAGGGATGTTCTCTGTGGGATGTTCTCGGAGGGGAGAGTACGCCAGAGTCCCATCACCTGACAGCATGGCCCAGCATGGGGTAGCTCTTCTGGCGAAAGGGGGGCAATACCAACGGCAACCATACGCAAGTTAATCAACAGTATTCCATCAAAGTGTCGTGCAAGTATCACCCAATTTGGCGAACACACCAGATACTGATCTACCTGTGCTGTGACTTGTTCTCGGTACTTTCCACGATGCTTCTAACTTGTTGAAATCCCAGTCTGCCAATATAAGGCCATATTTTATTCGACAAGTTTGATTGTATTGACCAGAAACTCTGACAACCTTTTTGTTTGACAATTATTTTACTCTGAAACACACACAGATAGCACATGACACGAATTGTAATTATTCTTTCAAATGCAAGATGTTTGTGTTCTTTTCATAAGGTACGGTGATTTCCGTCAGACACTTGTGACGTACAGCAGCTTGGAGATGTCACTTTATTTGACCCACTACCCTGTTCTTCCCTTGCTTCTTGAGGGGGCACGGGTGGCCCAGTCGTCTAAGGTGTCGCGATTCGCTGTGCAGAGTTGCGTCCCTTGGGCACTCCAGAAACCTATGATTGTGCGTTCGAATCCCGGTTCGCCCCGATTATGTGTCTAATTTTGTCAGCACCATACCCATGCACGTGGGTTTCACCGAAGTGGTAAACGTCTGAGACCTGCATCACTTCTGGCTTTCCTCCCACATTAAGCTAAGGCGCCGCGATATAACTGGAATACTGTTAAAAGCGGAGCTAAACCAAATTCACTCACCTCATTTCTTGACGGTAGTATTTGTGCAAGTTCATGAAGTGATTACATTTTGCTGTTTGCAGTTTCATGTCGTCAACTACAAATGTTCTTATCAGGTCATACTGCAGACTATTGACGAGCCCCGTGACACACGCTTCTGTTACGTCAAGCTCCTTCCCAGCGCTATCGCAGTTACCAACAGAACTTTCAACACGTTACATATGTCCCATGTATGTAGACATTTAGGCTTGCTGTTATGATGGGAAAACAAGTGATTTCATTCCTTCTGGTTATAGTGCTTCACTCTGCATTAAGGATAACTCACGTGAAAGGTATATACTCACCGTTTCCACTCCAGCTACTTTGAAGTATCGAGAACAATACTCGAACAATGTATACCCCTATGTGGGCAATTTCAGGACAAACAGTGATACTACAAGGTTCGCCCTCCTCTGCTGTCAGGAATGATACCTTTCAGTTTACCTGTACCGTCCCCGGTGGTGTCTCCTTACAAGGTGCATTTTACACCCTAGAGGAACACGGGTGTCTGAATTAGCTTAACGCATATCGTTGAAAGCTGGTCATATCGCCTGTCAAACTCGCGGTCTATATCACAATGTGAATACGTTCGTGGGTGCAATATACAGCCGACCCGTTGTACAAGATATAGCTGGCCTACATAACAAACCGTACTTCTCTGTCCCTGGAAGGAGCACGTAAATAGCTGTCGCAGTGAACAGCGTTACTAACACCACTTTCAACACGTTATAAATGTCTCATACATGTAGTCGCTAAGGTTCGCTGTAAAAATGAGAATATGTATGATTTCATTGCTCTGATTGTAGTGATTTATTCGGCATTATGGATAACCCACGTGAAATGTATGTGCTCATAGTTTCACGTCTAGCTGCGATACACACTTTCGTTAAAGGATCACGAACCATGACCTGAACAATTTATAGCTCTATCGGTGCAATTTCAGGTCAGTTGTGGCTACAAGGTTCCTCTGCTGTCAGGAATGAGACCTTTCAGTTGTTATGTGTCGTCGAAGGTAGTTACTCCTTACAAGGTAGAATGTCGTTCCGAAAAGCAAACGGAATGAGATTTTACAATGTGTGTAATGTCAATGCTAGTACCTGCAGAGAAATCAGCACTCTACTTCCTCGGTACACCTGTGGGTGTATGAGTGGACAAACGCAGGGGTTTTACATGAATATCACATCAGCCATTACACAGGATGAGGGTACCTGGATGTGTCAGTGCTGCGGTACATACAGTAACTCCATAAGCCTGGATGTTTTATGTAAGTATATCAAGCTAATCAACAAAACGTGTGTGTGGTAGCCATGTAATATTTTCAGTAAACAACTGTTAGGTTTGTTGAAATAATCAGTTACTTTTAAAAAATAACATGTTGCGTCTATACAAAACAATTATATTGAAAAATTATGTAAGTTGTGTTTTAAATAAAAGCGACCTTACCCTGTAGGCATTCATAAGACAGACAGGCACCTTTCGACAGCACTCAATGTACTTAATATATATACTTCCACTATTTCATTCCCTTGCACGATTCTTTATTGTTGAAACATAGATGGGCCAGGTATTACCTCTGTCCCCACAAACACACAAGTAATAGAGAACGCCAGTCCTGATATAGACTGCAGCAGTAACATCACATCCGGCAACTCCCCAAGAACGACAAGCTATAGGTGGACAGGTCCAGGAGGGTACAGCAAGGATGGGGCTGTACTAGACAGGCTTGTCAACAGGAACCAGGGAGGGATGTACACCTGTACTGCCACCAACACTGCAGGACTGTCAGACACAGCTCAGGTCAATGTGACGGTTCAGTGTAAGCATGCTACATTCTTACTGACGTTAGACGTACAAAACGTATTCTATGACCTCGACCTTCAAGCACTATTGTTATACCGACATCGGACGGCATGTACCGGATGTAAATTTGCGATGATTCAAGAGAGTCGGTCATTTATTAATTTGTTGGTTCTATTATGGTGTGGGTTTTCAAACACCTGAGAAAAATGGTCCAAAGACTTTGGTGGTAGCAGTATCTCTTTTTATTCTTAAATGTAACTGGTAACATTTTCCTATGCATTAACATTAGCATTAATAATAAGGTAGGTTTCAAAATGACCGAGACAGTTTATTCTCTGGTATTGGCGTTTCATATTCCAATGATGTGAAATTTATTTCCACCAGACGCCCCAGCAATTACCAGCGTACCTACCAACCAGAACGTGACAGAGAACGCTAGACCTGACATAGACTGCAGCAGTAACATCACATCCGGCAACCCTTCAACAACGACAAGCTACAGGTGGACAGGTCCAGGAGGGTACAGCAAGGATGGGGCTGTACTGGACAGGCTTGTCAACAGGAACCAGGGAGGGATGTACACCTGTACTGCCACCAACACAGCAGGACTGTCAGACACAGCCCCGGTCAACATCAATGTGCAGTGTCAGTATCACATCCTCCCACAATGTATAAGCATGTTTTGAATACATTTAGTGTCCCGTCAACTTTAATTGAAAATGGGCTATGCGTTTACAATGTTTAGCAGCATTGTGCAGTTCTCATGGAAATAATCAGGACAGTCGAGGCCTTGTTGTCATCAGCTTCTGTACCTCGTCATGGGGTAGCCTAGTTGTTACAACATTCACTTACACCTGTTCAAGTATAGCACTTGCAGTTTGTCTAAATGAAACTGGGAGATCCTTAAACTGATAAATATCATACATTTTGAGTTCTAAGACCATAGAGTGGTGTTTAATTAAACCACTGGATTCTTCTTGGTCTACCAATTTGCCCAAGCCGAGTTCCTTTCTTACTACAAGCGTGACCCTACTGCAACAGGCACAGGGAACATGTGTCTCCTTTTGCGTTGATGGCAGAGTTCACAAACAGAGGTCGGTGCTTACCCTTTTTGGGAACACCTGGTGTTATCACTGATTTTCATGTTATTTTCACCACTATTTTGCCTTTCAAGCCCAATGAAATCTATTTCGGAGGATAATCCAGGCCGATTATTCTCTGGCCGTGATGATTTATGTATACAAAAACAAACTAATAGCAATCACCATGCAGATGCTCTAACAATAACATATGTGCCTCCTGCTAACAGCGTGACGGAGAGTTCCAGCCTAAACATAGACTGTGGCAGTAACATCACATTCCCTTCTTTATTGTTGAAACATAGATGGGCCAAGTATTACCTCTGTTCCGACAAAGAAACAAGTGATAGAGAACTCCAGTCCTGATATAGACTGCAGCAGTAACATCACATCCGGCAACCCCCCAACAACACGCTACAGGCGGACAGGTCCAGGAGGGTACAGCGAGGATGGGGCTGTACTAGACAGGCTCGTCAACAGGAACCAGGGAGGGATGTACACCTGTACTGCCACCAACAATGCAGGACTGTCGGATATGGCCAAGGTCGACATCGATGTACAGTGTGAGTAATTACTACGTTGCAATATCTGTTGTCCACATTGTCTAAACAGGACTATAATGTATACGTTAGAGTCCAGTTCAAAATGTCCATATTCAAGTGTAGTGTAAGTATATTAAAGCCATTTTAATAGTCATAAGAATATCTGCAAAAACAAAGTCAATTGACGATTCTGACAATTTCATAATTTCATAATTACTGTCCAATATAGTGATGACACAAGGTGTCCACGAAATGGTGAGCATGGACAATCGATAACAATATGTATTGATGAAACTTATCTTCTTCAGGTAATTCTTGTATTTGAAGTGACAGCCGAAAAAAGAGACAGCACTCCTTGCATGTCCATGTCAGTGATAATCAGCAGACAACTATCACTGAACAACTATTATAAAGATGAATAAGACATTAGAAAAATAATTCTTGATATTATGAAATTATTAAAGATAATATATTCAAACAACACAATTCTTCCATTTTTTTTGTAATTATCAACATAGTTTTTTTACATTTGATCAGATCGTCCACAACGAGATATGCAGAAGGATTTTTGTCCAACAATAATTCGACAAATCAACGACACAGCTGCCATGATGGCTACAGCTGCATCCAACCCGTTGCCACATTTCACCTGGTGGAGATATGATAGCGGGCACCTGGAGAATATAGACGATGCTACTGACTACACTGTATTCAGCTCAGACTTACAGACAGTCCTTATTGTCAGGATTGTACACTCCAAGGACTACGGGACATATGCACTGTGGATGAATAACTCTTTTGGGGAAAGTATACTGCTTTACAGACTTTCACCAGCAAGTGAGTTTGATGTTACATTAATTTTTTTCATGTCTACAAAATACATTGTCATGTTGCACATATGTATACTAGCCACATAAAGAAACTGTGCACGGAGAAAATATAGATATAAGGGCACACCGTCCATATATGAAATATAGGTTTGAACACAGCAATAATTGGAGACATTCAAACGCTCATGCACGTGCCATGCGATATGACGTCATTGATGGGGGCCTATGGACGTGCAATGTGTTACTGCACGTGCATCCTGTGCAGCTGTACACAGCATGTGCAACTCAAAATTCGCTGTCACTTTGGAAAGCATGATCTGTGGTCATTCAAAAATTCAAAACTTCTCAGGCGCAGACACAAGCATATCACATGCAAATCATGCCAAGATTGACAGCTGCACAGCGTCATGAAGCCATTGGAATGATCCGAGCGGGAATGAGGCAACAACAGGTGGCAACACATTTCCAATGCCATCGTAACACGATATCGGTATTGGTGAGGCGTTATCAGAACACAACTGACGTTGCCGACCACCCACGTTCAGGACGTCCCCAAGTTACGACGCCAAGACAGGACTGATGGATTCGAGTTACACATCTCCGACACAGGTTCCAAACGGCAGTAACGACGTCCAAGACAATTCCTGGACTGCGCCGTATCCATCCCGACACTGTCAGGAATCGTTTACGTCAGTACGGGATTCGATCACGACGCCCTGCCATACGTCCCGTCCTGACACACCGTCATCGCGTCAACCGTCTAAGATGGTGTCGAAATCATGTTCGTTAACCTCGAATATGGTGGAGAAATGTTGTCTTTACAGATGAATCGAGATTCAACATTTCCCACAGTGACGGGCGCCAACGTGTCTACCGCCGTTTGGGAGAACGTTATGCACGCAACTGTATTGTGGAGAGGAATCGTTTTGGAGGTGGCTCTGTGATGATTTGGGGTGGGATAACAGCACGGCACCGAACCCCTTTGGTGGTTGTTCAGGGCAATCTCACCGGTGTTGGCTACAGAGATACTGAGGCCTGTGGTCATTACTTTCCTGCAACGTCATGGCCAGGGATTGACATTTCAACAGGACAACGCTCGTCCTCACACAGCTAGGGTCGCAATGGATTTCCTTCACCATAATAATGTCATGTTGCTGCCATGGCCTGCAAATTCTCCAGATCTCTCCCCCATATAGCATGTGTGGGATGAAATGGAGCGCCGTCTGCGTCGTCTTCCACATCCTCCAGATAACGTCCGTGACTTGGCACAGGATTTGAGGAGGATATTGCAGGCCATTCCCTAGGCCTTCCATGCCCATTTGGTGGAATCCATGCGTCGCCGATGCACTGCTGTGATTCACGCACAGGGTGGTCATACCCGTTATTGACTTTGTGACTTTGTCGTTTGACCCCCTACTCCATTTTGATCTTCTGACGTCATCGTAACAGATGTTGTTCAGGTTGACATTTTCTTATGGTCCGATCAGTCAGCTGCTACAGCGTCTGCATCATTTTGTTCTTGCTGTGTTGTATTTCAATCAAGAATATATTTTGTCCGTGCACAGTTTCTTTATGTGGCTAGGATGTTTCACAGAAAAAAGTATGACTGTTTGATTGTGTTGCTTAAGAGTGAGTGAATGAATATGATTTTATGCCACTTGACGCTATATGCAAGCTGGGTCTTGAGCGTGGCAAGCGAATGCTTCTACACTGCCCTACAGTTCGCTGTCAGCATACACATTAACAGAACACACATGAATTTGGTTGTGCTGTGTATCAGCCTTTGGCTACGGCCTAGTTGAACCAGTATGTGTCTATTTTTGGAACTGTGTATGCACATGTCACCCCACTGTTCCAGGCAGTGCTACTGGTCAGTCACAACCAGATCGACTTGGACGAGGGATTGGAATTGGAGTTGGAGTTTTGCTGCCTGTGGTACTTGTCTTAGTTGTTATCATTGTATTGATGTGGCGACGAAACCATGAACACATTGAAACGGTTAACAAAGGTAATTATATGACTTGTAGCCATATGTGTTTAGTTGAGCAGAAACGTTCGACCTTTACAGTAGTTACTTTACAGTCGTTTTAAAGGTAGCAATTGAAGAAATAGTTGAGTGTAGGCTCTGCCTCACAGGAGGACAATGCAGAGCAGTACAATGTTTACTCAACTGTTTGTTTTGCAAGGTACATGAGCAGAAGGGTATATTCCATTGTGACGTATTATAGCCACGTGTTGCTTTCGACTTTCGAGCCGTTCAGTAATACGCGATGACTTAAGGATATTCGTGTTTTGTAAGTTTGAACTTTTGGAAATATTCTAACTTACGAAGGAGACATTGGAAACCATGCAGTTATATTTAAACAGACATAGTTTTATGTTAACGTTACATATATTGATTTAGGATTACATGCAATAATGTCAAGATTAATACTCCACTTACAGATCAAACAGAAACCATCGAAATAGAGTCACAAGGGTAAGATGCACAATATCTGTCTAATTCAATTAATCAAAGAAATAGAAAGCGTCAACGACAGAGAATTATCAGACTCCAGATCATCAAATATATGGGCGTACAACATTCTCACCCAATTGGACAAACTCCTGTTGTCATCCCTATCGTTTGTCAAAATCGCTTTTCAGTGGACGCAGATAACCTTTTAACAATCACCGACAGAATTTTCTTTCAAATACTTGTTTAATGAGATTTGATATTTTGGTTCTCTATGTACAGTGTATTGAACCAAGGATGTTTTCTAACGTTACATCCGTTGGTTTGTTCCAGACACAGCACACCAAACCAAGGTAACTTCATCAGTGTCCGACCCGTGAAGTTTCCGGGGTAGAATAGGTCTTCAGCAACCCATGCCTGCCGTAAAAGGTGACTGTGCTTGTCGTAAAAGGCGACTAACGGGATCGGGTGGTCAGGCTCTCTGACTTAGTTGATACATGTCATTGATCCCAATTGCGTGGATCAATGCTCATGATATTAATCACTGGATTGTCTGGTCCAGACTCGATTATTTACAGACCGCCGTCATATAGCTGGAATATTGCTGAGTGCGGCGTTAAACAAGAAACCAACCAACCAACCAATCATATAACACTAAAGACGCAAAAGTTAGATTGTTAGTCTGTCATCTCATTATAAACATTATCCTGCGCAGGTCACACCCACCTTTATTGTGAGGAAACATTGCATTCAGTAATTCAACTATATTTTAGGTTTTGAAATGGTAATAAATCCTGTTTAATTATTTTAAACACACATATATAAACACGTAAAATAGCACACGTGGACATCATCAGTCATTAAAATTAAAATGTGTTAAATCACTCACAATAAGTTTTTAATGGTAATACATCCTGCTAATCTCTTTTAAGCACACATATATGCAGCTTGAATAGCACATGTTGACATTAGCAATGATAAGAATAAAATGTGTTTCAGAACGAATCACATACAATTTGTGTGAAGACATTACTGGACATTAATTAGTATTATATGTATTACTCTGCATGGTCATGATATGTTACATTTAAGTAATGTCAAGTTAATCATATTTTACTGATGCATTCAATTAATGTATTTGAAGATGGAGCCTATGCAAGCCTTGATGAGCATGCCCCTCAGAATAACGAATATGAGAAATTGGACATGGCAAACAGCGATAAAGGTTGGTACCATAGTTTGTTAAAATCGAGATATTGTTTAAGGCTTCACCCATGCGGGGATGGGTTGGTGGTAGGGAAAAGGGGTTCGTGTGGTCTTAAACATCCCAATGTCCAAGCTATATATTGGTGGCCTGTAAATAATCGAACCTGGACCAGACATTCCAGTTATTGATATTACTAGCAACGGTACACGTCGTAATGATACGTTTACACGCCATTAACCATGTCACGGAGTCTGACCATTAGATCCATCTAGACATCTCTTACGACCAATATATGTTTCTGCAGAGAGATTCCAACCCAGAGTCTCCACGGAACCTTGATTCGGGCAGCTCTTTAATACACACTGGCTTCTTGTATGCTCTGTATTTTTCTCTCTACACAAAAAGCGGGTAGCTAGTTTGTTTGACTGTTAAATATGGTCATGTCGATGCCTATGTCTTATTTTCAATGATCGTGAAAGCCTCGTTTTTCATTATGTGTTAAACTTCACTTGACAAAACTTGATATTGATTTATTTTTTGTAGAGCCGGTTGGTATGGTTAAAAAGGAATCCGTCTACCAAAATCAAGGGGCCGGTGGAGTTTGCGAAGGTAATTATGTTATGCATGAAACACATGTAGTTTCAGTAAACCTATTTCAGGGGCAATTGCATGTGTCACTTTAACTGACCAAGATTAATACTACTATTTATGTTCACAAAAGTAACAACATGGCAAAGAGAAATGTTGATACTGCCTGTCAGCCCACCCTGATGGTCAGTGAGTGAGTGAGTGAGTGAGTGAGTGAGTGAGTGAGTGAGTGAGTAAATATTTAACGTCACATCAGCAACATTTCAGCCACATCGTGACGAGAAGTCACATAACATTATTAAGACATATATTTTGACTAAATAAAAACCTGTCATCGATGGACAGTAACATTACTAGAATATCACAGATTTATATTTAAAACTAGCATGCAAACATAAAAAGATATCAATATATGTAACAATTCAAAATTTAAAAAAAGGCTGTAGATCGTAAGCAACTGAAGGTAGATCACAATACTAGGGGCCATGGGGACTTACAGTACCTTTGCTACCTGCATGGACCCCAGCGGGATCTACACCATCCCATCAGTGGCTGGCGATTGTACGCAATTTAGTCATCAGTTGAAAAAAAACATATGTACAACGTTTAAAAACTGTGCTTTGAAAAAACGCATTTTGAGGATGTGGACTTACATATCATTAAGGGGACAATAATTCTCCTCTACCTCAACCCCCTTTGAGGATACAGTCACTCACCATCTAAGATACAGATTAAACGCTACCAGTATTATAAAAAAAAACTATCCACACAAATATAAAGTTGATCAGTAAGCTCTATTTCTTTTAAACATCCGAAATCATTAAATGAGTAGTAATACTATTAGAAAGATCATTAAGAGAGGATGATTTGAAATATTTATCCCTTGTGATGGGAAAATCAGTACATTCAAGCAGGACAAGGTGATTCTTTCATCACAAGGGATTCAAATAGGAGGATCCTGACCTTTCAATAAATATTCATGAGCGTATCGAGAATGGCCAATACAACACCGTCGTAATATGACCTCTTCAAATCTGGGATAAGCCTGGGGTATGAGATAAGAAGTTGTGTCACAGATTTGTTGAGTGCTGCTTTTGCAGCAGTGGGAGCCATTGTGTAACCAACGATTCAAACATGGCTCGGTAACCAACAAAAGACGATGTCAAAGATGGGAAAGAGAAATGTTCATACTGCTTGTCAACCCATCCTGGCTGAGCGACGTGAAATGCAACATTATTGCACTTATGTAGTAACATGCATGACCGTGTGTGCGTGCGCGTGTGTTTGTACGTGTGTGGCTGCTATTACTGGTCCAGACGAATGTCGTTTTTATGGTGCTAGCCCACTGAGACACCTGGCCACAGTTGAACATTGACACCCCACTCAGAGACAGTATACTGAGTTCGAGCTGACAACTCCTTGTTTTATCCTCTAAATACTGAACACCAGACAGCATAACAGCAGGTACCATCTTTTAACGTCTTTTGGTATGACACGTCCTTGGATCGAAAACTCTCCCAAGGCAGCCGCTCTATCCACTAAACCGTGCAACCAATCCTGACATCTAAGACTATATAAGGACGGATTTATAATTGTTTACATCCCCTACTGTGCATCTTGTTTCAGATTATGAAGGTGGAAAAGAGACAGCGGAACAAGAATGACTACCAAGTTCCCAGCTTATCATGTCAAACAATCAGGTCGTGACTGCGTTTCAAGCTACATAAGTGCTAATGAGGGTGCGTCTTTCCAGTACTAAGCTACATATGCAACGACCCGGTTGTGACTAACCAGTTCCAATATACATATGTAGCAATCAGTGTCTGAAAACCAAGTTCCTAGCTACATAAGTAACAATGGGAGCGTGACTACCAAGTTTCAAGTTTCATATGTGACGATCAGGGGGATGACTACCAAGTTCAAGGCCAGTAAAATGCGGGTTAGGTCTTCAGCAACCAATGCTTGTCTGAAGAGGCAACTAACTGTGTCGGTTGGTCAGACTCGCTGATTTGGTTGATGCATGTCATCGTATCCCAATTGTGTGGATCGACGCTCATGGTGCCAATGACTGGATGGTCTTGTTCAGACTCAATTATTTACCGCCATCATATAGCTGGAATATTGCTGAGTGCTGCGTTATACAACAGACAAACAAATAAACCAAGTTTCAAGCCACATATGTAACGATCCGGGTGTGAGATGGAAGTAGATTAATCTTCGTCAATCTGGGACCTGTTAATCAGGAACAACGTCTGTATATAATTAGTCGTTACCCATAGTTCGTTAACCAAGTAATCTGGACATTTGTAAATCCGGACAATTTCAGTGGAACCGGTACCGTCCGGATTAATAAGTCTGAGTGTACACATTGTCACATGTATATTCTGTAATCTGTGACTGCCTCCGCGGATAGTATGTATCTTTCCATTGTATATAGTTATTGTTTCTATTATTTAACAGTACCTCATATATTTCCACAGTATATATTGTTCCTATATTCTAACAGTACTTTGTATCTTTCCAGTGTGTATATTGTTTCTATTATCTAACAGTACTTTGTATCTTAACACTGTATATGTTATAGATGTAGTTACTGTGTGTGTAAGAAGTGATACATTCGATCTCTATGTTTCTACATGTGACACAATTAAACAAACTAGTTTGTTTTGCCATGTTGGTTCAATGTGATCTTGCGGAATATTGCTAAAAGCCGCATAAAATCCACTCACACTCACTCTTATCTTCTGCTGTGAAAATGACTCTATTATATTCTGCTGCTGCTATGAGACAGATCATATTTCTTTCTGCTGCGGATTAGAAACAGACCATATTACCTACTGCTGTTGATGTGAAACAAACCTTATTATCAAAGTGAGATTGACCAATCAGGCAGCAGAACTAGTAACCCCATTTGCGCCCGTATACCGTCAGTTAAATCCAAGATGGTTCTTACTGATCTAATATGAGACTGTATACTATCAGTTAAAGCCATTTTGGATTTTCAAATACCCACCTCACATATATAAATTCTGGTACAGAAATTCGTTATTCGACACTGTTTTGAGTTTTAATATCATTAATTATGATAGAAAGACATTATTTTTAATAAAAACAACGTTTGTGACCTTGTTTATTCAAAATTATGGAGAACTAAATCTCACAGCGGAGGTGACTGATTTACAAAAAGCAGTGTCATAGAACACAATACAAGACGTCACAAACAAGGAACGTGACGCCAAAAGGTCACGTACCAAAAGAATAGATAGCAGCCCGTCGTCACAGTGGCACCAAGATATCTGATAACATGCGGGCATTTTTATGATAATTCTATCCATTTCAATTATATTACTTGTTTTAACGTTCACATTAAGTACATGATATATTCCATTGTCAAAGTTTGTGTTTACATTAAAAAGTTTTGTCGGAAACATATGCTGCTGATGTGAAACAGATCTCATTACCTTCTGCTGCTGATATGTGGTGAAGTGAGATGGAGTTTAACGTCGCGTCCGAGACTATTACACTAATATAGCGACGTGTGTATAGCGTTGTGTATATGTGTACTAGTCCGGACTAAAGTTGATTTTATAGTGCTAGTTCTCTGAGATACCATGCCGTAGTTGAACATGAATACCCTTCTCAGACACAGACTCTTAGTCGACCAATCCTTTTTTAGCTCCTTAATTCCGGCAGGTTAACAACAAGTACCATCTTTAGCGTCTTTTGGTATGAAGCTCTCCGGCGGACGCTCTACCACTATACCACGGAGGCTGTCTGCTGCCGATAGGAAACGACCGTATGACCTTCTGCTACTTATATGAAACAGTCCCTATAACCGTTTGCTACTTTTATGAAACGGACCCTATCACCTCCCCGTATCGGCTTCATGGCGGGTCGTTAGCAACGTGCAAGAACAGAAGCATGCTGCGTTCAGGGGAGTCTCTTCATTTACCTCACGGCAGAACTGTTGACCTGGATGTCTTACCAAACACATGGTTATCTATGAAGTTGTTTTTTTCAAACATCGAGGTCCATGTAGTCTAGATGGCTGAAAATCTAAATCAGTAAACGGCTCCAGTTTCAATAATAACATTGTCAAAACTATTAGTGTTTCTTCCCTACCCAAAACCTGTGCCCCTGCCTAAACAACACCCCACCCCACACACCCTCCCACACCTCAAACTTAAACTTCCCCCAATCACGATGTTTAGGGTTGTAGAGTCAGTCCGTCAAGTATTCAGATCCGTTCATAAAGGATTTAAATGCTTAATTTGTCAAGTAGGCTCAGGAAATGGGACGCTGCGGACACACCACGGGTTAGATGACTGTGTAGTTGAGGAACGAAAGGGTTGATATCCATTCCGATAGGCACGCTTATTAACATTCGAACTTAACCATAGAGACATATAGGGGAATTTCTCTGACAGTTTTGCAAAAACGTAACATGAATAGTATCTTAAATATTTTACATAATTGGCAAAATATGGATTCGTCGTTCAATTATGAAAAAAACGGTATAATTTAATCAACATTTCACCCTCAATTTATATCCTTAAGTGACATTTCAAAACGGTACCGTGATGTGACATTTAAGAACGTTGTGGCGCTGCACCACACAAGCCAGTTGTGAAACACACTTAGTTCAATTTAACAGGAAGGTAAAGCCGTATTTTTTTACATTTTGACTTTTAGTGTAAAATTCTTGGCTCCAACGCATCATTAAAGGACAAGAGACACTACACATTATTTACGAACTATTTACATCCATGATGTTTATGTGATTGAAGATCTACTGGTGAAAATCCTTCATGTCGACAAGCATCGTGTCACATTTATCTGAATGTCTATCATAAAAATTGACTCAACCAGGTCTTTCAGGGTGAAATATTAGTTGTAAAAGAAATGTGTGTTTCTATGAAATTTGAAAATTGGAGTTCTCTGTGCGTCAAAATGCAAAAAAAGCTTGTGTCCAAATTACAAATATCTTATTTCACTCTAGTCCTTGTAAAACAATCGAATCCCCAAAGTATTCAACAGTATTGAAATAAATACATGGATTTAACAACATAACATGCACGTTATTTCCGTCACTTCTTTATCAACAAAATATTACTCTTTCACCAACAGGACACGTAATAGATGCATAGCTATTAAATGAGACATAGACATTTTTATCAAAGTGTTCAGGGAGTACTGAAAAATATAGTTGTCATTGTTGGTTTCTCTTATCTATTGCAATCCGCTATTTCAAAGAGGACACACATATTCTTCCTGTCTGTCAACTGCTATGTTTCTCGCTATTTTAATTACTGAAAAAAACTACTTGCATTAAAAACCACCTTTTTACTTTTGATCCTACTATAAGTGAAGACTTAACATCCGTTGCACAGTACTTTTGTGTTTAATATTCTAAAACTAATGTTTAACCATCGGGATTTCAACATTAACGAGAGTGGTTCCATGTGTTTCACTCTGATGGATTCTTGCCTATGTTTATAATGTCCGAGAGCCTGACCGCCTCACAACGAACTCAGCAAATTGTGATATAAACTGAGGGGCAAAAGAAAGTATACCGACTTTGTTTTTCAAAGAACCCTTGGATAAGGATAGAATTTGCAACCACATGTCCCCTACCATGTTTTTAATATGGTAAATTTGTGCCGAAAAAAGCAAATTTATTGATTTTCAAAGATTAAATGTCTAAGACACCTATCAGCAGCTGTGTATTATGACAAAACACTTTTTCATTTCTTGAAAGTTTTTAATTCAAATTATATCATTAAAAAATTAAACCACTTGGAAATGTATTTTGAGTGCCGAATAAGCGCCAGTACAGTTATTTTCTATATAATGGTGTTAACATAGGATATTTTCAATTGAAAATGAAACATATGATTCATTTTTATATTATGATGCTAACATAGGAATATTTCAAATTGAAAATCAAACATGTGATACAATCGATGAAAAGGTATAGTTTCTTTTGCCCCTCATTATACGTTTACTATTTGTTTTGGTGTGGAAATTCTTTTGGGATAAATCTTTGTATTTTCAACGACGCACCTTTGAATTTAATGTGATGTAATAGGGGTCACATAACCGCCACACGCGGGATTTTGACCACACTATGCAATATGGATGAAAGTTCAGTTCGGCGTTCTGGTATTGAGTAAATATTCGATAAATTGATTTCAAAGCAAACACGAAATAACGCCGCAAATGAAGATTTAGTAAAATGTCAAAAGTAGAGATATCCTAGTTGTCAAAGGTTTTAATAATTCTGTTTGGCCTACAATGACTGGGGGTGATATCACAGACCAGAGTGTTTCCAACAGAATTCAAAACTGTTAAGTGTATGTGTATTTGGATGTATTTTTAGTTTAAAGAAAGGGTTCAAAAGGAGGGTGGTTCATAATTGGGAGAAATATATAATTGAGCACGGTTTTGACCCCTTTGTTAGACCATTATTATGTGTTCAAAAGTGATGACAGTTTTATCCATACACGTGTAGTTTGTTAATATATCTGTCAACCATTCAGTTACTATCAGAATTTTATGCACAAAAGTTAAGAGGGTGAGTGATTTCTCTATACGTCAATATCTGCAGTGAATTTGTTGCAGTAATCATGGCAATATAATTCCCACTTATACCCGTTGTTTTGAAATTGAAAGGTTAAATAAAATATATAAATAATACCTATCTCAGAGAAAGACACCCGTGGGGAATATGCACTAAGGAAAAAAGATAACTGTGATTCATAAAAAGATCAATAAACACAATTTTATTATCACACTGAAATTAAATAATGCATTTTTCAATACATATTGAGGAAGACATCCTCTCGATTTTAATGTCGTGATTCACATTTTTCACGTGTTTATTCATTGGGCACAATTCGGATGGTTGTTGGCAGCCTAACACATGTGTTTTTTTATGTGAACAGCAATAAATGATTGTTTAGCTACCAGGTGTTCTTAAAGACACTTTTGTAAGTACCGCATACACAATGCCAAATCTTGACGAAATTCAACGTCTAAGCACCATGGGCATGCTGCAAACAGGAATGGTGCAAAACGAAATTTCCTGACATTTTAAGATTCATCAAAACAAAGTCATGTCATCCCTTTTTAGACGTCATCTAAAGCAGGGCAACACTCAGAACTTGCAACGGGCCGATGGTACACGTGGTACGTCAACTCAACATGAAACCATATTTGCTTGGTGCATCTGTCGAATCAATACCAAACTGCCACCTTTACAGCTCGGAAAACTTCTTGGTTGAAACCAACTTAAGGCAGAACTGTATGCAACCGATTGAGGGAGCACAACATCCGGCCCCGACGGCCAGCGATACGTCCAATTTTGGTTCCACGTCACCGTCAGGCACGCCTAGAAGTATCTGAGGTCCGTCTGTCATCTGGACGGCTCTGATGGTTGTGTAAAGGTCTACAGGCGCCCAGGAGAACGTGTAATGGTATCGCCAGACACCACAACTCACGGGAGAGTACAGCAAACTGGTAACGGTACCGGAATGACGGCGTTTGA